AAAAGGTTAAATGCTCATTTAGGTCATGGGCAGGGGTAGCCAAACTATCTTTTGTGGAATTACAGTCCCATAAGGTATTGCAAGGCTGTGACAGCCACAGGTATGACTCCCAGAGGCAGACGCATACGTTTGGCTACCCCTGGTCTAGGGTATTGGGCAAAGCAGTTTTCCTTATTTAACCCATGCTCCTCTGGTTGTTGTTGCTCCGCTACGTTCCGGCTCGTATATCCCTTGGCATCTTTATGTAAAACGCCGGTGTATGGGCACTGCATTGTATCTGCTGACATTCATGGGCCTCTGAATGCCAGAGCATTAGAGGGAAGAGGCTGTGGATGCCGGCTATGTAGTATTGAGGGAGCCTATGGAAGAGGGGATCAGGTAAGTAAAAATCATTTACTCAGGTACCCTAGACCTAAATAAGCATTTAACCCTTGCAGTGCTGGGACAGTCCCACAGCAGGGGGATTTTTGTTTCCCCCTGAAGATAGGCTTTAATGTTGTCACCAAGCCAGTATTTTACTGGCCTGCCTGGGTAAAAGTGGTACTTCTTGCCAATGTTACCAGGAAAGCCATCATTTTTTTCTTACAAAATTTGGCAGCCTTTCCTGAGCTCAATCTTATGACTTAAAGCCTAGGCCTCTAACCACTGGGTCCATCCTGGATGTTTGACATTATTAGAGATTGCATGGAGGGAATTACATACCTGACAACTAATTTGGAACAAAATTCCTCTGTCCCTCTTTCCTCCTCGGGTGTCCCTCGTCCCTCTTTTTTGGTCTCATGTACAGATATCTATGAAAAGGTTCTATTTAACTACCAAATGTGTTATTCTGCACTAAAACCTTCATCTTATATCTTAATTATCTTGTTTGCTATTTGAAAAAAGGCAGAATAAAGGAAAGGTAATAGTGAATAAAAAGAATTCTTCACTTAACCAATCATTTTGGCATATAAATTCTTGAAGGTTCTCATACTTGGGGGCATGTCAGAGGTGTCTATTACCTACATACATTCAGGGGAGCAGACAAAGTCTGGAGCAGTTGTGCATTATAACCAATCAGCTTCTCTCTTTTATTTTCAGTGCTTAACTGAGAAAACTGCAAAGAGAAGCTGATTGGTTACTATGGGCAACTGCTCCAGATTCTGTCTGCTCCAGTTTTATTATATTCCCCCCATTGTGCTGGAAACTGTCCCTCATCTGAGAAAAGTTGGGAGGGAGGTATGGTATTGTTTATAATCAGACAGACCCTATTACTGAGATAAAAGGATTAGAAAAAAAATCTGATTTATAGTTTTTTTAAAAACATTTGTTTAGCTGATTCTTCTGAAATGTAAACCTATAAACATGAAAATTAAAAGTATCTGCAATAGTCTCGGCTATAGGCCCTCATATGCTGCAGTAAACGTGCAGGGCGGCCATTAGCTGTGGGCCCAGCAGGTGGCGCTGTTCAGAAATAGCAGAGGTCTTCTCAGTCCTGGTCTCTTCTTTCCCTGAGTGTTGTGCTGCTGGTCTCTTCCCATGTTGTGATCGCGGGGCAATCATGGCTGCTGCCGAGAAGAGCACGAAGGAGAAGCTGCTGTCAGTCTTGGATGATGTGGAGGTTCTGTCCAGGTAAGACATCGCCGAACTCCTATCCAGAGCTGCCTGGACAGGCGCTGTACACACTCCTTAGTGTACCACAGGCCGAGTTCTATAGGTGGCTGACAATTCATTCATTCTCATGCAGAGCTCTCCATGGAACGTCCCCTGGGTGGTGGAGGTTTGTCTCTTGGGGAAATTTATCAAAACTGGAGCAGACAGAATCTGGAGAAGCTGTCCATAGTAACCAATCAGCTTCTCTCTTCAGCTAACCTTTGAAAATGAAGTGAAGCTGATTAGTTACTATGGGCAGCTGCTCCAGATTCTGTCTGCTCCAGTTTTGATAAATTCACATCTCAGTCTCTGGAATTGTCTCCATGAACGTTTGAGTTTTCCTGGCAGACTACACTCATTTCTGTCTCCTTTATATTGGCTTGCTTAGTAAGATTAAATCCATCTCACATTTGTGTCTGTGTTTTGTAAATCAATCCTGTTCCTTTTCTAGTTCTTTATTTGCTTTGAAATAGCTGGCGATCCTGCCAGTTCCCATCCCTCCCTGTAGCATTCTGACCACGCCAAGCACTGAAGTAGATCCATGCAGGCGTGGTCAGTGGATACAGTGTCTGTAGACTGTCCAGCCCTGCTCTGCCCTGACACATTGTAAACTGGGAACACATTTCCCTACTGATGTCATTCAGCTGCCTGCCCTAAATGTAAACATGCCCCCTGCTTCTTCCTGGGGTGACCCTGGCTGAAATGAGCAATTGTCATAACTAGTGATGGACAGGGGATTGGTGTGAACCCAATTCACCCAAGGCCACTCCAAACTATGGTCAGCACCCCCTCCCAGCCCAATCACTTGTGGCAGGGGCATTCTGCACCCCGCAGCTATAAATCACAAAGAGTGGGAATGCATCTGATGCAACTGACACACCTGATTGAGATTGGGGGTGGGTTGTCATCAGTTACAAGTTAGCGTTTTGCCAGGGCAAATGCATGCAAACTGGGTTTGCACCAAGCCCTTGCACATCACTTGTCCTAACAAGTATCCGCTCTCCTGCCCTCAGCTGTCCTGGAAGCAAGGCTGAACAGCAGTCATGTAACTACTGTGTAAAGGTGGAAGAAAAAGGTACTTGATGCTATTTTCTATTATAAATTGCTTATTGTTTGCATTGATGTTATAAAGTGCAGTGATTAGGGACTATCAGCTTTCACATACTCTTTGAAGCTGAATGCTGAAATCAATATTTTGAGAGTTGCCCGCTCACCCTCCACCACGGCCGCTCATAAAATGCCTTGTATTATTTTCACAGACCACAAGGCATTCTGTGATTGGATGATGTGGAGATTGTGGTGCTCATCTGCCCCCTTCCCACAGAGCACCCTGTATTCAATTCTGTCAAATTACTTGTTTCCCCTCCTGTTGTCTTGGCAGCACGTGTTTTTGGTTACTTAAAGGTGACCTGTCTGTAATCATCCATCTGCTTGATTGACTAATGGATCATGAAACTGGAATAAGTATGTAGCCAGTGAAGCATCAAAACACCTGATATGCACTAATTTGATGGCTTTCTATGTTGTCAATCAAAGATCAGCAGTGGCAGCTACCAGATAGGTCTCCAATGCAGCCCTGAGCTCTGCCAAAATCGTATTGTGCTGAAGTAGAGCAGATGAGCTTTGAAACAAACCCTTACTGCAGGGGTTACTGCAAAGTTTGGAACTCAGGAGCCAGTCTGTCCAATCCAGAAGCTTGGGTAAGGGGCGGAATGACAAAATGGCCTATGGTATGTTGGGGGAACCACAGCCTGTCTTGACAGACCTAGTATTCAACACACCCAAAAGTAGTGGATACCAGAGACAGCCAGAGATCTGCAACTCAATGGAGTTTTAAGAAGCGAGCCACCAGAAAGGTGAGTACCCAGCATCTTCTGTTAATGGCTGGCATGAGTGTAGTTTGCTGCACTTACTGACATTGTTGTTTTAAAGCTTATTTATGGCAAGTTTGCTTTCAAGGCAGGAACCGAGAGATATTTTAACAAAGTCCAAATCCCATTCGCACTGCCACGGTCTCAAAACCACAAGGTATATGTGCTGCCCAGGTGACCCCACGGACGGCAAAACACTAATAGGGTATAAAAGTAAATCACCGGCACACACTTGAAGGGTTTTTTAAAGTATTGATATGTTTATTCAATACCCAATGTCGCATGCTGCGGTGTGACAGTATGTGACATTGGGTATTGAATAAACATATCAATACTTTAAAAAACCCTTCAAGTGTGTGCCGGTGATTTACTTTTATTTACTAAATTATATTTTAAAACTTAGAGTGTTATTTCATTGTTTATATATTTGCTGCAGTATGTTAAGTTTTTTTTTTTTTCTTCTTTTTCAGAGAATTAATAGAACTCCTGGCACTTTCACGGAACCAGAAGCTAAATCAACCCGGGGAAGAAAATCAAGTAAGCTTTCCTGCAAATACTTTACATTATCGTTGTTACATAGTTTGGCAAATACCAAGTGCCATGTGGTTGTATAAGAAAATATCTTGTGACCTGAGTCTCCTTACATCTGAAAGTGATCAATAGACATGAATTGTGGTATTTACAATAGAGAACCATAATTATTTAGTTAGTAGGAACCCTTTTCCAAAAATTATTTCAAAACCTAAGTATAGTAGCTCACTACAAAGCAAATAGTTCATATCAAGCCTGTCTTGCTGCCCGCAACCCCAGACATCTCTAAGCTGAAGAGCTGTCAACAAGATTATCTCTTCAGCAGTTGATACTTCTGTAAGTGTCGGATGCCTGGTCCTCCGCTGCATTTATTGGTTCCATCTGCTGTCCCTTAAGTCCCTGAAGATTGACAGCTGGCTCTGTCTCTCTAGCGGCAGAGCCAGCTGTGCCGGCCCCTCCACCGTCTGTTCCTCCAATCAGCGCTGTAGAAACGGAGAGGGGAGGGGGAAGAGCAGTCGCCGCTCTCTGCAAGATGAACCCCCCCTCCTTTTTTGCCATCACTGTCCTATTTCAGGTATTTCCCTTCACTTCCTGTCCCTTATACAAAACAGGAAATAAAAGGAAAATTCAATTTTTACACATAAGGAGCTTCTGTGATGAGTGTTAGTTGGTTCCTGTTCAGTAGGCAGAGCTGCACTGTGTTCCTTTTTTATTTATTTTTTTTGCTTATGGGGAAGTTAATTTATTATCCTTTTATGAAAGGGAGCAGAGACACATGGGGGATCTATCTAAACTGGAGAAAACTAAATCTGGACCAGATTTGCACTGCAGCCAATCAGTCTCTCTCTCTCTTCTCTCTCTCTCTCTCTTTCTTCTCTCTCTCTCTCTCTCTTTCTTCTCTCTCTCTTCTCTTCTCCTCCTCTCTCTCTTCTCTCCTCCCCTCTCTCTCTCTTCTCCTCCTCTCTCTCTCCTCCCCTCTCTCTCTCCTCCCCTCTCTCTCTC